TTCAATAACTATCCGGAGTGAGCAAAGAGTGGACAAGTGCGTGCGAGAGAGAGGGATCACCGAGCCCGTGACCATCAGTGGCCCATGTAGCCGAGTGCGGACGTAGGCGACCACATCCACACCTGAGGCAGAACGGCTGCCTACCCAGCGGGCGCCGAGTGCATCGGCGCATCACCACCTGTCCAGAGTCAGCGTTTGTGTGTCACCCCCGAGCGGCGCAGACAGCGTCAGCAACCAAACACCACAAAGACTGATAGCCTGCAGGTCGACGGGTAGGCAACGCGCCCAACAGGCGCGCCTGGGGGTTGCCTACCCGCTGCTCCGCAGGCGCGTCGGGCCGGGACGACGGTAGGATGGATGAACGGCTCGCACAGTGCAAAGCATGGCCCGCGGCCGAGCTGGCGGCGGCCTTGGGTTGCACTGGTGGGGCGTGGCGGGGCGTGGTGGGGCATTGTGGCTGACAGTTGTTACTCCGGGCGAGCCTGTCACTCCACAGCGACAGCAGCACTCTGCCGAAACAAGCAGCTTTCTCTCTCACTTTCTCTCTCACTTTCTCTCCCCCCCCCTCTCTCTCTCTCTCTCTCTCTCTCTCTCTCTGCGAGAGGACGCCGACGCACAGTGGGCTAGAATCCAAAAAAAGCGGACAAAAGTATGATAATTTTTTAACGATTTGGGCTAATACGACTAGTGGCCTTTGTAGCGCAATGTTTAAGGATTTCAAAACGCATTAGTTTGTATTTTTAGCTGCAAATCTTCACCTTGAAATATCATTTTGAAATCAGCTATTTTGCGGTGCCCGCATGGACGGCTCTAACCTCACTATCTTATATTGTTATTTTTATCGTTGTTCATAGCTTCAGCCACCCACACGTTTGCTGACGTGTTGTTCTAGACACAACGAAACATATCAAGGTGCAGGCCATCGAATTTTTACCCCCCACCCCCCAAAAAAAGTGAAAAGTAAAACCCTCCCCTGATTGCGATTTGGGCCAACTTTAAAAGGCCGTAAGTAACGAAATCATGAAAAATCAAAGAAACCGACTATTGATTCTTGGAGTTCGAAACCTTGTTTACAGGATCCCGTAGTCGGTTTTTGCGGTAATTTGCGGTCTTGCGAGAAAAAGACTTGTTTTTGGACGAATTTTGGTGGACTTTGCGGTGTCGCTGCCAGATAGGGTCGCCTAACCGACCGCACCTCGTATGAAATCATTGAAAAAGTGTCAAAAATCCCTTAAAAAATCATGCAGAGCTCTAAAAACTCAGAAAACAATCAAAACAAAAACCTATTTAAAAAATCGTAAAATCTTGTAAAAATGGAGAAAAAAGCGCAAAAATTCGAAAAAAATCTTGAAAAAATCAGCAAAAAATCAGCAATAATCAGCGCAACTGTAGACCTCCGTAACCGAAATTTCACGTAATTTGAGTAAGATTTTGAAAACTCCCCCCCTTTTTGACCTGGATCCGCCCCCTAAAAATTCAAAATTATTTAAAAAATGGAATCAGCGCACCCGAAAACCCCCCTTAACATACCGACATCGTATGTGCGGTGCACCCAATAACTGTTATGATTTATGTCCGCTTTTTTTGGATTCTAGCCCACTGTGCGACGACGCGACGCCACAATCTACCCGCGGCGGCACGGTGCCTCGGCGCGACGCCGCCGGCAAAAAATCCTCTGAGCGCAATTTCGTACTCGCCGCGTGCCATCTTTTCCCCTCCGCCGCCGTGTTTTGTTTTCTCAGGCATCTCCCGCTCGCCCCCGCCATTCTCTCACGCGAAATGGAGCGTTTGCTAAACATCAAGAAAAGATTTGCTGTTTTTTATTTGCGGTTTCGGCTGAACGTTGGTGTTTAACCATAGCAACACTTTTTCTCTAATGAGCTGAGCTCTTGATTTTTCTGCAGCCTGCAAAAATACGTTGGATGATAAAGGTAAATTAACATTCGACGAAATATTCAATAGAGAAACAACGACAAATAAAACAGCAAACTTTTTGGGAGCTGTTCCTCAGCAAATGCTCTCTTTGCGTGCTTCCGGGCCCCTCAGAACCATTTACTCGTTTCCGCGCCTCCCGTGAGTGAATTTCCGAGTCGCCGTTGCTGACACAAATCATATACATCAAGACGCGACGGCGCGGGGGTGGG